CTCGCGCTCTTTTATTTAGCCCGAGGTTAAACACGTGGCAAAATACTTGTTTTCGATTTCATAGCCATCTAAATTCATTTTTTTCTGTTGACTATGGGAACCAGTAGAGCCAATTTAATTGGTTTTTAATTTGAAAATGCTTTGACGCATTCGCTGAATTTTTCCACTAGGTTTTGATCGATCAACGGCTCGTTGTTGCAAGCACTTGAAACACTGATAATAAATGTTCACAAGCTGCTTAAAATCCAAACGCAATACACAAAATGTTAGCTGTAATAAAAAATCGATTAAAGCTGTAGAAAAGTTGTCAAAGCCAATTAGTAGAATATTCAGCAAATGAAGATCCAACTTGAAAGTTTTCCATCAATTTGCGAACGCCAATCCATTCATTTTAATGGGATGAATATTCGGAACGTAACAATATTGATACCACCTACGCGTGTTTCATAATGGCCCCAAATGGAGTGTTTTACATTATTTCAGCTCATGTGGGATTCTATGCAATCAATAAGCAAATAACAATAAAGACCGCAGAGAATTGCAGAGGAAAAATGGTCTGAAATTGGCGTTTTAAGCCGAACGATGGCCGATTGGGAAAATGTGCTCGAACGGCACAAATGATCATAACTGGCATTATTTGCTGCAGTTGAATGGGTAAAACTGCAGAGAATGTGGCAGAGGTTCAATAATTAATAGGCTTGTTTGGAATTGGACTAATTTTTATATGCACATTTATAGTTTATCTTTGATGGACTGAGGGTATTCTTGTCATGCTCTAGGAGCTGCTCGAAAAACCCACACACCTTGCAAGCCTTTCCACTAAATTGAGTTTCTTCCTACGGGAATAACATGTTCCTTCTCGGACGCATCGCATTTAATTTGTTCCAAGCTGTGAGAGTTGGTCAAGCAATTAAGAGTGGCCTTTGAAAAATTCCCACTCTGTGTCAGTTCGAAGTTTTCCGCTCTTTGGTCATTCAGAGCATGCTGCACCAATTTCACTCTTCAATACAAAGTCGATTGCCCGGAATTGTTTGGGCAGAGCCGATTGAAAATTGATACTTTTATGGCTTGGTTCTAGAGAG